GATATTCATCTATGTCAATAGCATTAAACAGAACAATGTGAATTACCACGTAGACGTAAATAAGTACTCAAGCGGCTTTACATTGTCTCTGCATTATTTGCATGAACCCATGTAGAAGGATTTACAGTGACTAAAATTAGGCATGTGAGTCAAAAATTTGGATATTAAACAGAGAAATATCGATTTCTAGATGAAAAAATTGTAAATCATGTCACACAGCAGGAAATAAACAGTGATTAGATTCAATTTTTAAAGCCAGTGATGAAAAAAGGATTAATTGGAATTAAGTGACGGGATTTTCGGGGTTAAAGTAAGTTTGAGACTAAGTGGAGCATCATCCAACTTCTTGTCCATTTTAGGCAACACAGAAACAGAAGGTACCACACAGAACTGGTAAACAGAATAAGACGATTATATGAGGTATATACACCTTCGATCCTATCAAATTTATCCTTATCAGAATTCTGCATAAGGTTATCTGTAATCAGTGAAACTCTTTGACCATTTCAAAGTTTCTCAAAACGACCACAAACTCACTCCCTATGTGATTGGTCACCTCAAGGTCATTTAAGAGTATCACAAATGCACTAAAACATCCTACGCGTGATTATTCATTTTCGATACCACAACGAACACTTAATTTCTGGAAGCACTGGAAATAAACTGATAACCGCTTTGTTAAAATAATGTGACAAGAACGTTACTACACATCGCGAAATGGAACACCAGGCTGAGTGAGCAGTTGGACAAGTAATATCATGATAGGAAACTAACTTATTGAAGGGAATAAACAAACTACTCAGTGAAGCATGAAGCAGCGCTTACAATAACACTCTTATTCACTTTTCTCACTATCTAAAGTATAGTACGTTTTCCAGCCAACTGTCGTTTTATTTGTAAAGGTTGTATTCATGTTATCTGACTCATGAGACCGTTATAAGTGCAGTGAAGTAGCGATGCATGAATGAAGAAGTCGGAAGCAAATAACTAAACTACACAACTTTAAGAAAGAAACTAGTTTGTGATGGAGCTTCCAGTCAGTTACTTATCTGATGCCCTCTACAGGTTGTGCTTTTTATGACGATGGAGAATATTAATAACTCAGGAGGATAATTTTGATGCTGTTGTGTTCTCTGAGCTGGAAGAGTTAATCGTGTAGCTTCCGTTATCATTCCAGACAACACTACCAGTACAAACTTCAAAAAGAAGTGAGCTATCGGGTTTTCTCCGCAGTTTATTTAGTAGCTTGTTCCGATGGCCTTGTATGCGACTGGTTGTTTCAGCCGAGGTCTTATCACAGTCTTCTTGTTTATTTTGATTGGTTGTCTTGATGACCTGAAATTTCACCTTCTTGTTTCTTATTGGTTGATATATTGGGTCGATGACAACATGTCTGTTCATCACTGACTGGCATGAATGATAAGCTTCTAAAAATTCGCTGGTATTTTTCCAGTCAAATTCATGTCCATAGTTGTCTTTAGGTGTTGGTATGATCGAAGACACATAAAGACGCTTAACTTCCAGTTGATGTTAATGTAAACGGATACGAAGAGGCCGACCGCTTTTTGTTTTAGTGGTTTGATCTCCTTTCCTTCGTTTTTCATCTTTTGGCTTACATAACAGTTAGTGAAGAGATTTTGTGGGATTGTGAGCTACAGCGATTTCAAAGGCTTCAATAATCTACTCGTAATCTCGGAGATGTTCTTCATAAAATGTAGGACAATCCGTTTTTTGCTTTCTGAGGATGACTTTTTAGTTGACGACGAACTAAGCAAACACTTTTTTATGAAGTTAAGTGGATAGCCATTCTTCTAGAAATGTCAATAAATAGTTTGATGATGTACGATAGTGTATCTTCATTCTTTTGGATAACTTTTTCATACAACTGACTTTGTGTGCTGTTGTAACCGTAGTTGAGAATTTGATCCATATGAATTGGTTTTCTGTACGCTTCAATTTCCAATTTCCCCGAATCCGTCCTAATGATGAGAACATCTAAAAACGCAAGTTTGTTATTTGATTCCTCTTCAATTTTCAATTTATTGTCGTCGAAAATGTTGTTGATTAATTTGTAAGCGTCTTCCAGTTGGTTTCTTCTAGTGGTGACAAGCATGTCTTCTACATATGGAGTCCAAAATTTTGGTTTGATCAACAGCAACTCCGCAGTTTTCAATCTTTGCATTACTGATTCTGCAGTTAGTCCTGATATAGGTGATCCAAATGGTGTTCCCTCGGTTTCCATGTACAGTTCGCTGCTGAATTGAAAATATATTGTAAGGAATAAATCAATTAAATATATCCAACTTAAACATTGCAGTTCTGTGTGCTTCAAGAGGTGTGTATCACTGCTGAGGTGGAGTTATGGTATTCTCAGTCAGTTTCAGTTTAATTGAAGTACATAAAACTGTAACGTCGAGAAACACCATCAGTTCGTCATTGTCAATACGAATATGCTTGATCTTTTGTCGCAGAGTTGATTGAGTGAACGCTTGATTCTACCAGATATTTCAGTTTTCTGAAGAGTTCTATTGAAAGATTGTATGCAGGGGTTCCTGGAGTTGAGACAATTGACTGTAGTGGGATGTTTAGTTTGTGTATTTTTGGTCTAGCGTAGATGAATGGACGAACAGGTCCATTATATTTCACTCACTGGTTAAAGCTATGATTACTTGTCGTATTTCCTGTTGGGTATCGAAGTAGGGTCCTGAAGTCTTCAGTGATGACTCCAAGTATGCGAAATTCAATCCTTTCTGAAGTAAAAGATACTTGGATTTGGTGGGAATGTTTTAGACAAATTGACTTCATAGTCAATTGTTACTTACCCTTCTTCAGCCCGTGGTTTCGAAATTGTGGCAAGTTTTTCGCAAAGGAAGTTTCTTCCCTTTTCTTTGTAACGCCTGCTTGATTCTCAATCACAATTCCCAACCTTGTAAAGTGCTCCATGTTGAGCATCTTTTGGAAGTTTCTTCGGATCCGTCTACATGAACATCAACTAGCAGTGAAGTAACATGTTATATTTAAGCTGATATCAATGTATACATACAACTGTGTAGAAAACTTTATCGCTCACTTCTTTCTGACGTTTGTGCCATTGATGCTGCCTAGAATGACAACGAAAGTTTCACGAGTGAATCATCCAACTCATAGAACACTACACACTGCATGCTGAGTTTTTCATTTTAACACTGCTAACTCTACGTTCTGTCTCTTTGAATCAGACATATTAGAAAAAACCGACAACCTAATAGTCATAAGTGAACACAGGAGGATGACAAGGTTACTGCCTACTATCATCGATGATCTTCCTGAATGTGATGGACTGCATCAAACAACAAACTCAGAGCAGACAGAAGAAGAACATACGCTGTTTGACCGATGAAAAGACTCCAGATGAAGATTTGGATCTCACCAATGTTGATCTATGTTTAATGTCTTGTCGCACAAACTCGAAGATTTACAGGCGAAAACTAACAAGTTAACAGAAGAGGCAGGTCAGCGAAGACGGCACTTCAAGTGAATGTGAAGAAGACGGAGGTGATGAAGATACCACTCAATGAACAACAACATCAACAACAAACACCAATCACCATGAACGGGAGAAACCTAAAGGAAGTAGTCTCCTTCACCTACCTAGGCAGGCAGCATCGTTTCAACTACATTCGGCACAGGTACAGACGAGGATGTCAAAGCAGTCAGGATGGGAAAGACAACAAGACAGGCTTTCACTAATGTGAAATCAGTGTGGAGATCTACTTCACTGTACTCAGCATAAAGTGTGAACAACGTCCATATTTTCAACACAAATTCAGTCAAGTCAGTGCTTCTATGTGATGGTTGAGAAACTTGGTGTGTCACATAAAACACTTCCAACAAACTACAGACATTCATCAACAGCTGCCGCCTACGCTCACTTCATACTGAAGATCAGGCCAGATGAGAAGACAACAAAGAATAAGCAAGGAGGAACTCTGGTTGGCTGACAACGAACCAACCAACGAAACAAGAACCTATCACCCAACAAATATGAAGTGGAAGAAGGTGGAGATGGATTGGATTGGGCATACACTGAGAAGACTGACTGAGGACATCACGCTCCAGGTTAGGTCCTCGAGTGGAATCCATAGGGGAAACGAGGAGTTGGGTGTTTGAGGTGAGGGTGACATAGAGGAGATGGTGTGAGGAAGAGATGGAAGGTTTTGGGCAGTCATGGAGCCATGTTGAAGGGACCTCAGAGAAGAGAGTGCAATGTAGGCGTGTTACTAAAGCCCTATATTCCACTAGGAACCCAAGGGAAAAATAATATAATTCCTAATAATCATAACATTAAACATAGTTGTATATATATTGGGTGATGATTGAAGGTGGAATACAAATTTGGGCAGCGTTTGGATTCGAACCGGTGACCACTACCAACGGAGATACGAGGTCCGACTGTTGACCAGATTCTTTTTCACTTCAGTTATCAACGATCTTGCCCGACTACCATGTGAATTCGGGATGCGTTACTACCGCTTGATCGTATTCACACTGGCTGTCTAGTCAGGACTTCTCATTCTAATTCGAATCCGACCGCGATTGAAATTTTCACTTCACATTCAATCACCACCCAGTATCAATATTAGTCTGCCAAACTACGGCTATCTTAGATAGTCAAATGAATATCAATATAATGCTCACCCTTTCTTATTCACTTAGATTTGGATTGAGATGAGAAATGCTGACTGGGCAACCAGTCTGAGTACGATCAAGCGGTAGCAGCGTGTCATGAATTCATATGGTAGTCGGGTGAAACCCTTGATGACTGAAGTGAAATAAAAATTTGGTCAACAGTTGGACGTCATATCTCAATTGGTAGAGCATCAGGCGGGAAACCTAATGGTCGCTGGTTCGAATCCGACCGCTGGACAAATATATATATATATATATATATACCAGACAATGAAATTGTATACAATCATTACTAATGATACGACAAAAACACAATATCAAAAAGACAGAGTGCGAATCACAATTTTCATATTGCTAATCATCTCTGTTTATACACAAAAGACAGTAATAATTACATGCGAAGTAAGTCAAAAAAGGAACAAACAACAATTAAATTATCCTGGCGATGGTAATAATGATGACATCGACGACAACAACAAAAGTACTCTGTTGCTTATGTAGAAACAGTCATTGAAAGATCACATTGGCAAGATTAAGTAATCAAGATAAACACTCTTCTCAAAAAAAAATATGAAACAATTATATCAGAATAAAACTACATAAATGGTAATCAATAGTGATAGGATAAAAAATAAGCCAAGGGATAAAGATAAAAGTCATAGAAGGGAATACTATTATCACCATCATCATAATCGACAGCAGTAGCTTCAAATGTGAATTGTCGAAACATTGTCAATTAATGTAAACACCTCATTGAGGGATAAATTCATAGGGTTTTTTTTAAAATAAAGATTAGGTGTATACATAGGATATTTATGTATAAAACCGAGAGAGAAGAATACAGGAGAGAGAGCGAGAGAGGTGATGAGGAGAATGATAAAAGAACGGCATAAATTCTATTCAATAAAAGATAATCCTATCAACTTTCCATCCACTGTTCAACATAGTGAAAATTGCTTCCGAGAAGAAGGGGAAAAAGGCCGTAACGGGAATAGCCTAACAAAAGAAAGTATGCATCATATTCCAAGTGATGGTTTTAAATGTGTCAGTTATTCACAATAAACGACAAGCTGATATCACCTTCCCCCCCCCCCCCCCCACCCCGCCTTCTTCTTCAATCATAAATAATCGTTTATACAGGAGATTGAATTTTAATTTCTGTAGACTGTGAAAAACTTTCAGTCATTAAATTACTATTATTACAAGATTGTAGAGGTGATAACACTGAATCATTGTTACATGTATGTTGATGATCAATACTTGAAGAATTGAGAATACCGGGAGTTGATTCAGGTGTAGGACAATATAAACTGTTAAGTATCTGATTACGATTCGATTGTGTTATTGCTCTCCTGGATGGTGTAACTGGAAGACGTGGAATAGCCCGACGACGTAATGAAATTCTACCAAATGGATAAGTATTCTGTATACAAGGACTATTTGGTGCTGATTTCGAGATAAACTGATCTGAAATGTAGAAATAAAAATCTAGAATAAAATGCAATTTAAAAATTATAACTAGATTAGTAGAATAAGGATTCATGCATCAACTTTTGTCAACAGGTTTGTTGGAGATGCTATTATTATTGCAATCTTTCCCTTGGGTTCAGTAGCACGCCTACATTGCACTCTCTTCTCTGAGGTCCCTTCAACATGGCTCCATGACTGCCCACAACCTTCCATTTCTTCCTCACACCATCTCCTCTATGTCACCCTCAACTCAAACACCCAACTCCTCATTTCCCCTATGGATTCCACTCGAGGACCTAACCTGGAGCGTGATGTCCTCAGTCAGTCTTCTCAGTGTATGCCCAATCCAATCCATCTCCACCTTCTTCCACTTCATATTTGTTGGGTGATAGGTTCTTGTTTCGTTGGTTGGTTCGTTGTCAGCCAACCAGAGTTCCTCCTTGCTTATTCTTTGTTGTCTTCTCATCTGGCCTGATCTTCAGTATGAAGTGAGCGTAGGCGGCAGCTGTTGATGAATGTCTGTAGTTTGTTGGGAGTGTTTTATGTGACACACCAAGTTTCTCAACCATCACATAGAAGCACTGACTTGACTGAATTTGTGTTGAAAATATGGATGTTGTTCACACTTTATGCTGAGTACAGTGAAGTAGATCTCCACACTGATTTCACATTAGTGAAAGCCTGTCTTGTTGTCTTTCCCATCCTGACTGCTTTGACATCCTCGTCTGTACCTGTGCCGAATGTAGTTGAAACGATGCTGCCTGCCTAGGTAGGTGAAGGAGACTACTTCCTTTAGGTTTCTCCCGTTCATGGTGATTGGTGTTTGTTGTTGATGTTGTTGTTCATTGAGTGGTATCTTCATCACCTCCGTCTTCTTCACATTCACTTGAAGTGCCGTCTTCGCTGACCTGCCTCTTCTGTTAACTTGTTAGTTTTCGCCTGTAAATCTTCGAGTTTGTGCGACAAGACATTAAACATAGATCAACATTGGTGAGATCCAAATCTTCATTTGGAGTCTTTTCATCGGTCAAACAGCGTGTGTTCATCTTCTAGCTGCTCTGAGTTTGTTGTTTGATGCAGTCCATCACATTCAGGAAGATCATCGATGATAGTAGGCAGCAACCTTGTCTTACTGTTGTCTTCAGTGCAAAGGCGTCGCTGAGCTTTCTAGTGTGGATAACTTGGTATGTGGCGTCTTCATATAGCTATTGAATGAGGTTGATAAAGACTAGTGGCACTCCGTAGTGTTGAAGCAGGTTCCAAATTACTTCTCGGTCGACGCTGTCAAATGCCTTTTGAAATCGATAAAGTTGAGGCAGAGAGTTGACTGCCATTCTAGTTGGAGATATTACTAGAATCTTGTAAATTTATATTTTAGAATATTTGAATTATCTTTTTCGCATCTTTTTCAATCCAATGTGTATCACTGAATTTGGACGTTTTTAAGGACGCTGTTTTCCTATTGGCTAGTCTCTCACTTTTAATATGCTACTTTATCTATTGGCTTCAATGAAACCTGTAAAAAACGTCTGTGCACTAAACGAGTCATTCATACATAAACCCAGTTTTCCTAACTTCCATGAAAGAGATGTATGTTTGAAAAAGCGTAAAATCATTACAATCTTCGTAAAGTCTCGAACAAGATGATATGCTTAGTATTCTTTTTACAAAATGTGTTGATATTCTATGTCATCTAGTCATAAACATTTTTAATTAGTCCTTTGTCAGAAAATGACATACCGATCTGGAAAGAAATCGAAATAGTTCCGCTAGCCAAGTTCATACCTTCTGAAGCGAAAGTGAAATTCCGACTGGTCGCAATTACCTCACCTTTTTTCTAAAAACAACGTAAAAACTGTTGCTTCATATCCCTGAACCTGCTTTGGAGGCTTTCAAAACTCCAAATTCATTTGCCTACAAATTCAGCAGTACATTAGATGCTGCAGTTATTTTACATCATAATATTATTGCCAGTCTGGATAAAGGTGATAAGTATGTCAGATCTGTCCTCTTAGATTATACTTCTGTCTTTGACTCTATCCCCAGATCCTTCGTATTAAACAAGCTTCCCAGCACTTACATATTTAGTTCTGGATCGTAAACTAGCTTGATTCATATTTTTCTAAGACAGTACACTCTTTACTTCGTTACTTACTGAAGCCGCTGTCCCTCAGGGTGTTTTCCCTTCTCCTTTTCTCGTTCTTTGTGCACAACTTATCAACCTTAAAGGAAACTAACTTGTTAACTACGCAAATGACTTAATTTCCTAACGGAAATTGGCCACTAGTCTTTTTTAAAGGGCCTCACACTCAATCCCACCAAATATTAGATGGTTAATTTTAGCTTAAGACGTGAACAAGACCTTTGTAAACTGCTTCATTCCCATGACTCTTGTCTAATTCATGCTTCTATCACAGAGAATGTATCAAGCGTAATCCATCTTGCCTTATGATTTCCTTCTGATCTTTCTTGGTCCCCTCACATCTCACTAATTTCCAAGAAAATCCTTCGCTTGACCTTTGACACAAAGAAACTCAGACTGTCTGGTATAGCTTAGGCTTCACCCTTACGTTGTATTAGTTCCTGTGTATTGCTCCCCTTATTCTTTCTTGGACTTCGGAAAATAAGACTACGCTTTGTTGAGTAGGATTTCGAAGGCTGTTGGTAGAGCGAGTGGCACACCACTAACCATGTTAATAAATGCGGTTGTGAATAGGCATCTGAACCCGTATACACAGATGGAGTGTCTGCAATCTCAAGGGAAGTGGTGTCTCCTTTGAAATTTTAATACGCGTCAACACTCAGGACTAGACAACATGAAATTCACTACACCCAGTGACCAATCAGTGTACCCAATCCAGTCTAAAATGAGGTTAGTAGCGGCCCGAATAAGTCAGAAGTAACATTTATCAATGTGCACTGCGTCGATGAGGCTCCTAGATTGGTGGTCACATTGCAAAACAACCACTGGAATTAGATCAGTACTTGAGACTAGACAAGATGAGTTTGGCTGTACCCAGTGATCAATCAATACTCCGATTGTCCAGGCTGTTGTTTGCAAATAAAGTTTGTATGTCAATAATCACGTCTCCATTGTATGCCACTGTTTATCTAGTATTTGTATCAGCAAAACACATTGAATCACTGTGTATGATAGGCAAGTTCCATATACCATATCAAAATGCCAGCTATCTTCATCAATCAGTAGGGTGAAGTGAACCTTAAACACGAGTGACTTTAATGGCCACCCTAGCAACTGTTGAAATAACCAATTAAACTTGTCTATATTATTCAAATCTGCCTTTCCAATCGAAATGGAGGAACTTGATTGGTTATTTCGATCATTGCTAGGGTGGCCTTTGAAGTCGCCTTCAAACACGTAAGTCACCTGTTTGAAAGTTAAACATCTAAAATTAAATCAGTCACAGCTTCACCGATATTACATGTTTTAAACGTGTAAGTAATTGAATCAAGCCAATAAGGTGGATTTATGAAAAAGCTATGCTTTTCAGTAGTTCAACATTATCATAGAGCATCATTTTAACCCCGCCTGGTTAACTAGTTCACTAGGTACTAGCCGGTTCCAAGCCCAGGTAAAGAGGGAAGGTTGGGAATAAGACTAGCAACCCTACCCCGTAAAGCCAATCCAACCGCTAAGGAAACTTGAAAGCACAGACAAAATATAAAAAATAAAAACAAACTTATTCCTCGCTGGAATCGGAGAGGCGAAATGACGCCAGTTGGTGAAAGCCTTCGGGAAACCAATTGGCCAATGTGTCTTCTCTCGATGAAAGCGGAAGTAAACGTGGGGACATGGAATGTCCGCACCATGTTTGAACCTATCAAGGCTGTCCAGATTGCAAAAGAGATGAGAAGGTATCACATTGAAGTGCTTGGAATTTGCGAAAGCAGGTGGAATGGAAATGGACTCTCCAAACTGTCAACTGGAGAGGAGTCAATAATCTACTCCGATATTGTCACCCAGACGACAACCACGAGCACACTGAGTTTTCCAGTGGCTATCATGATGTCCCGTTCAAGAATATCGAAGACTCTCTCTCATACAGTGGGAACCAATCTCCTCCTCCAGGATCATGACAGCAAAATTCAACTCGAAAGGAAGGAAAGTCACAATCATACAATGTTATGCACCTACAAATAATACAGACCAAGAGAATAAGGAGGAATTCTACAGACAACTTCAATCAACACTGGACAAGACGTCAGTTGGCGATATCAAAATTCTAATGGGAGACATGAATGCCAAACTGGGAGCGGACAACACAGGAAGAGAACTAACCATGGGTCGCGAGGCGCTCGGTGAGGTGATGAACGAGAATGGAGAACTGTTTTTTAGAATTCTGCGCATTCAACGATTTGGTGATTGAACTGAACTGAGAGGACCATTCGGGGACATCACGCGGCAGACCTTCGAGTGGAATCCAGATGGGAAATGGTGCGTAAGGCGTCCGAGGGTGATATGGAAGAGATGGTATGAGGAAGAAATGAGAGCTTCTGGGCAGTCGTAAAGTCAGGTTCAAAAGATTGCAGAGAACAGAGTGGAGTGGAGATGTGCTACTGAAGCCCTGTAGCTACACTAGGAACCCAAGAGACAAATAATAATAATAATAATAGAGCATCATTCGGTTTAAATGATTTCCTCATTTATCAAAGATGAAAACTAGGCGGACCTATATAGTAGCCTTGAGTATAAGATCAAGAGGGGGGATAGAGTAAACATCAGTGATCAGAATGAAAGACACTGGCATACAACGACAATTAAAAAAGGTCTTCATTATTTCTTCACTTCTTAGTGGCATTTATCTGAGTCTACCTTATTCAACTATCTATCCTAATTCAATCGTTCTCTTATTCACCATCTCTTTCGAACTATTTCCTTCCCTAATTTTTTTATTTCGTTTTGTATGAGGCATGATGTTTTGACATCTTTATTATTTCCAGTTTCCGTTAAAATGAAAACAAATGTATTACTATAAGCATTTTGACTATCTGAGATAGCTGAAGTTTGGTAGACTAGTGTTTATACTGGACCACAACTGGGTTCGAACCAGGAACCACCAAATTTCCAGGCCGGTACTCTACCAACTGAGCTACGAGGTCCGACTGCTGACAAGATTGATTTTTATTTCAATTCAGTCACCAAGGATATTGCCCGACTACTATTACTATCGTTTCTGCCTTCATTTCTTAGCTATCTGTGGTACATTTTGATCTAATAAGCGATATGATCATTCTAACAAACAGGTGAAAAACCCACTTAAAACTAGACACAGTGGTGTATCATTTCACAGAAGCAAACAAAAGAAATATGGATAGGAAAAGAATGATAATTAAGTGAAATAAGTGTAATAAGAGGAGAAGGAATCGATGCTAGAAAGTCAATAAACTGTCTCAGGTCGTGAAGATGATAAAAAGTGGATGAAACTGAAAACTTGCAAACTTATTTTTTCAACCATCCCAAAGAGTACTCAGCTGCTGATTTCTATAAACGTAATGATTGTAAACAGGTAACCTACACTTCGCTACATGACTCAGAACAGCAGTTAGAGATCGCATGAATCGATGACACATGTTGATTTGGCCACTCCGCGCTTTCTTTCAACTCAACCCTACTTCGATTAACATCGCGCATTAAGGTAAACATTGATTTGACATTCGCAACATATGATTAAGTTACCTTAGTGTGAGGTTGTTGTGCATGAAGAGACAGTCTAAAACAAAGGCATAGTTTAGATGTGCAGACAACATATTTGTAGTACCAAAATCGAAGCATTTATATATACACTAACTGTGTAGTAAACGTAATCCAATTTACCTATAGATTAGAAAGTGATGAAGGAGAGCTAACGATGTTGCAGCGCAGGACAAAAGTAAACAAGATAGAAGTTTGGACACTGGCGTCTATGAAAAGCCTTCCCATTCAAATCCTGTTTAGATCTCAAATCAGTTCCCTATAGGTCAGTTAGAGTGTGCTTGTTTAAACCTACAAGTAACAAGGCAAAGAAACTTACTAGTAGGACAGAGGATCTCAGATAAAAAATCAGCTACATTTATGATAACTTACATCTGAATAATTACCCCTTCATATTTATCAATAATTTCCAAAGAAATTGTACAGAGAATTTCAGCAGTAGCGGTAAGACAGGTAGTAATAATAATCATCATGATAACAATACAATTATTATTATTGGGACACAAACATGGTACGGCAAGAGGACCAAGAAATGGATCACATAAAATAATTTAACAACATTATCAACACAAACACAAGGAAAGTCGATAAAAATAAAACGCAATGTGAACAGAATGATTACAACGGCAGTACAGTAAGGTACATTCAAAACAAAACATTCATTACTTTTCAGCAGCACAAGATAGAAGCAAGCTACAGGCATGACCATCGCCCACTTCAATTCTTAGCCACATCTCATAACATCTCCAGACACTGAGTTGACTGATCTCTCCGACCCCAAACTCCAACCCCACCCCCACCCACACAGTCGTCATCCACCAACAAATGCTAACCCCATACAACTATCTTTCATCCCACAGCGTCACGTCATATACTCACCACCCCTCCACTTCTCCCGACCAGTACTAGAGACTAGCAAACAATGAATGCTGTGCAAGTCGTTGGCATGACATGCGTAACACATGTTCAAGTCACCGAAGCCAGTGTTTCTAGATGACTTTACTTATTCAATGGCACTCTCCACTATACTCAAACATAGGCTGTCGTACCTCACAATTAATTACATAGCGTTGCCGCCACCAGATACAAGCAATCCTACGGGGACAACGATGATCGAACACACAGAGTCGTCGTATATCCTCAGGTCGAAGGGTTCAGCTTTCACAGGTATAGAGCAGAACTGGTCGCATCGAAGCGATGTAATCCCAACATTTCATAGTCATATTAGTGTAGGGATAACATCTAAGGTGGCCCAGATTGACGTATGGCACTCTGGCTCATCACGAAGGGTGAGCGCAGGCACAGGCTCTTGTCAGTCTTGAAAAAGCACTTTGCACTTCAATGATGCAAAGCACATACCGTACTTACGGAAAGAATTCAAGACATCTACTGTGTGATCGTGTAGGGAAGGTACCTGAAAAGGTTGAGATTCGACTGGAATTTAAACCTACCAACAGGTTAGGTCAAAATATCTCATTGAACCAATTGAGCACAAACACTCAGCTAAATTAAGACTAACAGAGACTGTAAGATTAAGAATGTAGAGAAAAGCTGGGTCATAGCTATGCATGCGATTATATACAGTTGAATAACAGGATGGGAGATAGTGACAGTCTTAAACCAATTTAGTGGGGTGGAGGGAGAGATGTAACCAAATCTTTATTTATTAAATTAAAAGCAAATACGAGCAACAGGAGTGAATCAGCACCAGTTCCAGATATGTGAAGAACACTACTACCTATATAACATTGGAAGAGAGGAATTAGAACTACATAAACCATATCTCAAAGTTTTCGAGTTATCCTTGATATGACTATGGACAATAAAATGTGTCCGAAACGTAGTCCAGTAAATGATACTCCTTCACTGTATGTTATACATCCAATAAAAAGAACTAAAATGGTCCAACAATCGTACTTCGCTTTAAAAAGACATGTTAGAAAGGTTGACATTATTCTAAATTATTCAAGCTATCCCTTATTCAGAAGTAGGAATGTCTGAGACATCGTTCTGGACAACTTTAAATGCCACCTTAGCAACTGCTGAGATTACCAATTAGGCTTTTATGTTTTATAAAAAATAAAAAAAAGATTTTTCCGGTAGGAATATCGAAACCTGACTGGTTATTTCTGCAGTTGTCACAGTGACCTTGAAAGTTGCTTAATCGTTCACACTAGTTAAACCAAAAACTGTTTAAAACACCTATATTTAAATAAACATATGACCTTATTACTGAATATTATTTGTTATGAAAGAAGAGGTGGTTGTATCCTACGTACTACATAGTATAACGCTGGGTCACAGGTGCAAGGTGTCACAAATGTACAGCATAACTGTAAGTGAAGAGTAAATTACACATAGTATAGATTGACAACAAAATGTCACCTAGATGAAAGAAATCTGTAATAAGTCTATCATATTATGCCATACTAACTAGTATGATCCACTTTATCGAAACAAAAACGATTACGCTGGATTATTTAGTTTCGGTACAAAAAAAAAAGAAAATTGAAGTAAACAAGCTGTTTAGACATCTATTCTACTGACAATGTTCTACAATATGAAAATAAGAACTCACTTTTACCATTAGTATTATTGACATCATTATTCATTAAAGTATTAACAAACCAACGTGGATTTGATTTCAGGTATTCAAAAGCATTAGGAACTTTAGATACTTGGTCATTCATAGGACATTTATTCACATTATATAGGTCTGATGTTGGTCGATGAACACAATCAAGAATACTATCAACATTCTTTGAATGACTGTTAGTTGTTTCCAAAAGAAAATTATCACAGTTATGAGTTTCACTAGTATCAGCTGAAAGTGATCTTCGACGTTCAGTAATTCGATTCATAGATCTTAAAGGTGATGATTCATTGTTGATATTATCATTTTGTGTAAATGAAATCATTAGGAAATCATTAGAAGTAGTATTCTTCAAAGATAATATAGGCGTTTTTTCAATTCGAGTATGAATAACATCAGTCTGAGGTGTAAACTCATTGTGTAGAACATCTGTGGAATGTATACAATTTGTTAATTTACTAATACGAGTCTGTTTAACGCATATCGGTCGACCATTATCACGTGTACACTTTGGACTTCTGTTGCGTAAATTTTCAGCTGGTGACAATGTCTATAGTGAAATTTTTTCAATAACAATAAAATTTTAAAAAAAAGAGGAATAAAAGGATAATCAAAACGAAGAAAAATAGGCATTATAAATTTCTCCTCCACATGGTTATTACACTTCGCATCAGAAGAGTTTGGACAGTAAAACAGTTCCTACTATGTAAAACCAGGGGGACAAAAATTCACCAGTAGTATCCATTCTATATATAAATTTTGAAAGCAAATTATAAATTTGAGAACTACACTACATAAATGCATTGGGTTGTAATTTTTTGATGGGGTACAATGAAAGAAGGACATAAGGAACGATGCAATACACTTATATAATCAGAGAGTAAAGTGTGGATTTTTCACTCGTTTCCTCTTCAGTTGACGGCGCCTGAAATTAATTACGCCGTAAACAAGACAGTCAAAAGAATCTCAGAGTTTTTGTATTATCCAACCCTTAGGCCTAAATTAGGTAGCAATCAATGTATTTAATCCGGTCCTACACGAGGTCAACCGTTGCCCAAATACCTCAATGGTAACGTCGCTGACTGCAACGCTAGGTGGCATGGGTTCGAATCTCTCATTTCCTTGTCTTGTTGATGAGTGCCAAACAAGCACGAAACCTTGTTCGAGGGCTTTCTGTCGATTGCCCTCAACCAATCAAAAGAAATAATACATTGAACGTAATCAGGCTAGATTGATTACTACACCATTGGAATGTGTTTATCAAATCTTAGTAATCTGAGACAATTTCACAAACAAGGGAAATACAATGTGACTGGCAGTCAGTCAATATTTCCCCTCGTGAAGTAAGCGAAAAAAAGTTTTCACAACAACATACCGAATGAAAATAACTTTCAAAATGTGTACAAATATATTTAACAGCTACCCGATAAAGAAAATCAACCTCATATGATAACTGAAATAAAAAACACGTTCACAAGTGACGATCGTCATTATCAATTAGTGTCATAAGAGTTCTGAGAGATGGAAGATGCTAAGATAAATTGTTGATGTTATTCAGTGCGATTACCATTGTAATCTGATCAAACATTGAATCATTAGTACTTCGTGTAACTAACAAGGGTCAGTGATGAGTTGAGAAAACTGACAACACAGTGGGAAAACACTAGCAAGTTTTTAAGGAAACATTTTAACATGTTTTTATGATGTTACGCTTATTCTAAACTGGGTGATTCAATGTCAGTTTAACGCTGGGATAAAAATCAAACACCTAGATTGGCTCATATAACTGTGATAACCTTCAATATGCATTTTTGCTGTGCTCCTTAACTTCGTCGACCAATCAATCTTCAGAAATAGATGAAATCTGTTATTTCTGAACAACTAGCTTCGGTTTGACTTGAAGTCATTGAATTTATCTTCCATATTGAGTGTGCTGATTACACCACTTATCTAAGAAGTCGGATCAGCCCTGGCCAGTTCGTAGTCAACGAAATCTTTGCATGAATACAAAAGGCTCGATTGGCCTTGCCAACTTACACCGCTTACGACGTTACCGTGATATTCGATTGTCTGTTAAGGGTCAAGTGTACTGTGTTGTAGTTCGCTGTATTCTGCTATATATATGGTTATGAAGCAGGGCCACTAAAGGTAGATTATATGAAAAGGCTTCAGGTGTTCGACTACCATGGGCTTCGCAGCATAGGTTACGTGTTGTGGTGTCACCACTTCAGTAACTTAGAAGTTGGACATAGAATTCTAAGGAGAAGAGTTATGAACTTTCATTGAGATGGCTGGGATGTGCTTTACGCAGGATGAGCTACTGTTCGCCCCCGTCGCACATTGTTATCTGACGTAGATTCAGAATAGAAGGTCAGAGGTGAACAAACTAAAGCGTAGTATCAACCAGTGAAGTCTTTGGCTGCTTGTGTGGGCCTCGTAGGGGTCCGCATGACAGCAGAAACTAGTGGTTGGAGAGAACCTAGGTGATGTGTCTGAGAATCGATCTCAATGGTACATTATCTTCATTCTAATAGCCAAACAGAATGTCAGTATTTTCGCATTCCGACGTACTCTCTTAAAATGACATTTAACCCCTTTTGACTACTTTCTTCCCTGCTCCTCTCATCTTGATGCATTCTCGCTTGATATACTTATATGAAGTTAGAAAAATTGGACCGCTATGCAGAGTTTGCCTGTCCGTCATCCTCACTGATATCTATGCTACAATCACAGGTCATTGCTTCTAATTAAAACTTCAGGGTATTTCATTTTGAAGTTACTAATTAGCACCAAGAAATTTCTCTCTCTGAAGACTTGTCACACGGCAAAATTAACAGTTTATGCTGCAATTTACAGGGATAACTTATAGTATCCACCTCTAGCCTCAGTTACATAATATGCAGTGATTGATATGTTTGTGGCATCTTCATCTTTGCTTGGATCATGTTACACAGTTCATGGGCTTTGCCATTAGAATAAATAACTAAGAATAACCATAAATATTACATAACAAGAAAGTGGAAAAAAAAGTATGTAAAAAAGCTTTAGGCCAGTCAGTACATAAGAAACCTGATGAAGGATCCTCAACAAAGCTGGAATTAGTTATGATGGCATTTAAACCTACAAGCTCACCCCCTTAGAGATAAGCTTTGTCGGCTGGCTTAAGTATCCGACAGAACCAATTAAGCAGAGTAATCTAATCTATCGAATTCCATGTCATCATCATTATCAACATAGGACCAGGCATTACTGCGTAACGGTCAGAGTTGCCACACCTCACGTCAGTTCATCAAGTAGAAAGGTGGTGAGGTGAAGGATGAAGATAAGTGGATGCAGTCAAAAGAAATATAAAGTACGAGAAGAAAGGAAAGAGGAGTGACAAAATGGTGAGATTCGGTATAGCGTTGTTAAGATGAGGATAATGTGTGTGTACATCTGCGCCACTGACTCCGGTTCTCACCTATGTGATCACCTAAAGTCAGTCTCCAACCACTGGTTCCTCTTGTCCCCCCAACCACCTAGTCTGCATCGTCCTACATGGCTTAAACCAACAGTCAGAGACTTCATACATTGGTGCCATGTTTTAGTCTGGCCACCTCGAGCCTTTTTCCAGCCTGGACCCACCTCAGCCAACATTGTGTGACAAGGCAATCGGTGACTAGGCATACGTAGTACGTGAAAATTCCATGTAATGACTACGAGGTCAAGTACATTGTTCAAACTAACCGGTTGGGGTCAGTTAGAATAGCGGGACATAGGAATTTAGCTAAATATAGAATGATAGACCTAAATAAGATCAATATTGAACTTAAGCACAGCGGTTTTATTTCACTCATTCTATTGTATGGTCGTGTTAGTACATGCACTGGAATAGTCGAGTATTTTTCTAGATTATTGATGTATGATGAATTCGAGATACCTGTTGGAATGTGTCAGTTTTCTGTAGACAGTAGTATCCAAACCACCGTCTATCTTTCGTCTTATCCTGCAATCCAATCCTTCAATCAAACAACAATAGGTAATTCTTCTTCTTCATTTCCTACCTAGTAAGTGAATTGGATTGCGCCTACTACTTAATTTATATGTTTATGAAGAAATTGTTGATATGTTCCGATTTGAACACAGTAAATGTGTCATCCATATATCGCAAGCCATGTTTTCCAAATATCCTATTGATACCTACTCCTTCTATCTGTCGATATATTTTTTTTCTGATATTTGAAGACTAGAGAGATCAGGCACAACTGAACGCCTAATATGATCTCAACCGATATCTTAATTCTCTGAGTAAGTTCTAAGTGAACATTTAGTTTATTTCTGACTGTCTTTAGTGCCATATTAAGTGAGAGACATTGATTACTGAATCCTTGCTCATAGAGTATACACTCAATGATGATGCAACACTTATTACCAGAAATATGGAAAAAAGTTTACTACCAATAAAAACACATAATATGAGGTGACAGGACTACAGAAATCTGCTGTTGAAAATGGTGTGATTACACTGGTATGATTATATTATTATTATTATTATGATTAGTCCCTTGGGTTCCTAATGGAACATAGGGCTTCAGTAGCACGTCTCCAGTGACCTCTGTCCTCTGAGATCTTTTGAACCTGGTCCCACGACAGCCCACAAGCTCTCATTTCCTCCTCACACCATCTCCTCCATGTCACCCTCATCTCGGACGTCCAACTCGTCGCTTCCCATGGGGATTCCACTCGAGGGCCTGACGCGTGATGTCCTCAGTCGGCCTTCTCAGTGCATGCCCAACCCATCTCCACTTCCTCCTGCATATTTGTTGCGTGATAGGTTCTTGGTTGACTGGTATGATTATGGGGAGTGGTAATTTATGCTTGAAATGTCGTCATCAAATAAATAATAATAATAATAATACTGTATCACCACTGTGTGTTATCAGTCAAATTCCCAAGATGGTATTGGTTCGCTTGAGGTTAACTTGCTAACAACTGTTGACGACTGGCTACGCATACAACTACTCAATGTGAATACAATGAAATGTCAAGTTAATTTAGCCCAACAGTTTAGTACTGTAGAATAAATAATTCAAGACTCTGTTTACGGCTGACTTCATCAACGGATTGTCACAACAATTGATAAGAAGCGGCTTATATCGAAATCAACATTTGAAGTCATCAGCTGTTAAGGTAGAAGTTTGGATTTCAACCTTGTTTCATGCTACTGTTTAGGTAGGAAAATTATGGTACACCTTGCACTAAAACCATCATTTGCAAAATCTGCTTCATTTCCTCTTAGGCTTCTTTGTTGATTTGCTCTTAATACGCCTGCCTTTTCTGTTGCGTTGCTTTCGGCAGAATCCTTACCCATTGCTGGTAATTCCCTATGATTCCTGCTACCCTCTCAACATATACTACTTATATCCATTCTTACCAGCGACGCCCACTACAACTGTGTTATAAATGCAATAAACAAATCTGGTATGGAATTAAGAGTCCCTAACTCCCTCAACAGCTAATACTACAACTTCGAATTGACAGGTAAAAGACATGCATAAAGTTATAGCACAAACATAATAGGAGAAATTTACCCAGAAACTGAAAAAATATCACTTTGAAAAAAGGAGAAAAAGAACACTAAGAGGGAAAAAAGTATTACTTACCAAATCAATCTTCAGTGGAGGATCTTTACTTTGAATAATAGTGGAGTTAAGAGTCAGATTGAAAGAATTGTCCAACACTCGATTCTCAGTATTACAATTAAAACTTGAAGCTAAGCTACGATTCTTTCTCAAAGGTTTAAAACATTGACTAGAAGGTGAACAGTTTACTTCAGAAGTGATATGTATTGGAGATATATAGTCGGTAACATGTGTTATACTATCAACACGTTGATTAGAGAATAGGCAATTGTTTGATGAATATTTACAATTTTCAACTGGTACAGAATGATCACCGTCAGGGTAGCATACTGGAGTACTTGATGATATTATTGGTTTCGGAGTGTTTGAACATAGTGAACAAGCACCATTCGGTGTACTGAGCACTAGAACATTATCTGTTACCAATGTGTCCAATTGCGATTCAATAGAGTGAACAGGAGAATCACTGGTCAACTGAGATGTCTGACATAATTCGCAAAGATAACAGTTAGGAAAGATAGACAAAGATAAGATATGACAAGAGGTAAACAATAGAGGGAATTATTCTATACTAATATATACCTTATTGCTATCGTAATATCAATAGTCATGCTGACTAACTGAAAACTTGGTATCAAAGTGTATGGATCGGTTCAAGTTGTTCCACTTCACAGAGGTCTCCCTCTCATCATCTGACTACACAGAGGTTGACCTGATCGCAACAGAATTTTCGTTAGATCTAGAATACGCAGATGACACAGTCCTGTTAGGTGAAGATGCCGATGAGATGCAGTCTGCAGAAAACACCTTGAGTGGTAATCTGAGAATGGTTGGGATGCCTTTCTCACCACCCAAATGCAAATTGTTGCTCCAAGATTGGTCTTCAGTGGTTACACGGCTAACAATAGAGAATGTAGTGATTGAGTGTGTTGACCACTTCACTTATCTGGGAAGTGAGATCAGCCCTAGTGACTCAGGGGCCGACGAAATTTCTGCAAGAATGCAAAAGGTGGAAGACACGAGAAGGCTTCAGGTGTTTGACTAACGTTGCCTTCATAGTATAGACCGTATTCCATGGTGTCATCACGTGAGTAACGCAGAAGTCAGGCATAGAGTTTTAAGAAGAAACAAGAGGTAAGTCAGTTGACATCGACTGAGATACCTGGTTGGGATACGTATTACGTATGCCTAGTCGCCGATCACCTCGTCACACAATGTTGGCTGAAGAAGGTCCAGACTGGAAAAAGGCCCGATGTGACCGGACCAAAACATGGCACCAATGTATCTGACTGTTGGTCTGAGCCATATGTGACGATTCAGACTAGCCGGTCGGGGTCCGTGGGACAAGAGGAACCAGTGGTTGGAGACTGACTTTAGGTGATCACATGGGTGACAACCAATGTCAGTGGGACAGATGTATACACACATTATCCTCATCTTAACGACGCTGTACCGAATCTCAGCATTTTCTCATTCTTTCTTTCTTTCTGTCCTTTCGTACTTTATATTTCTTTTGAGTGAATTTCCTTTTCTTCATCTCCCACTTCACTGCCTTTTTACTTGACGTACTGATATGAGGTGTGGTGGCAACTCGGACCGTTATGCAGTAATGATGCCTGGTCCTATGTTGATGATGAGCATACAAAGAACAAGTGAAAAGAAAGATTATAATATGACAGACGACAAAAGTGTATGGAAGGAGAGTTGGTGAATACATCTGTACAAATGTGACTCATTTCGATCCATATCACGCTAATCAAATCTCTCTACTCGAACTCACGCTGCCATGTAAGGGCTGATAGAGAGTTGTATTTAGAATTGACGACAACTAATGATATCCGATAGGGATGCCCACTGTCACCGTTCCTGTTTAACTTCTTCACAGACTTACTCTGATGAACACAACCCTAAGTACATCTGCCTTCGCAGCGATTGACCTACTCCCTGGATGTCATCTGGTTAACTTGTAGTGTGCAGACTATATTGTCCTGCTAGGTGAGGATACTGAGTAAATGCAGGGTCTTTTGAAAGCCCTGAGAAGAAATCTGAATATGTTTGGCATGCGTTTAGCACCCATCAAATGTTAAATGATTCTCCAGGACTAGTTTACTGCAAGTACTCCCAGTTTAATGGAATGTGTCGATCGCTCCACTTATTTCGGAAGTTGCATCATCCCGAACGGGTTGGTTGATGATAAAACAGATATAGAAGGCACGTTTGGGGTTTGCCAACTTGTGCTATCTATGATACAGACTGGCGAGATATCTGACTATCTATCTAAGGACAAGTTTACTGCGCTTAGTTCTATCCTATTATGCGGCTGTGAGACAAGGCCATTAAAAGTAGAAGACGTGAAACGATTACACGTATCTTCGTAACATTGCTCGCATTTGGTGGGATCATCATGTGAGGAATGTTGAGGTCAGACGAAGGGCACCTGGCAAGACAGGCAAGTCGATTAACAAGGTTTTGAACCTTAGTCGACAGAGATGGCTTGGATATGTACTGTGCATGCCTAGCCGAACAACCGCCTATTTCGACGTGCCATTCTATAGAAAGATGGATTATTAAGTTGGAATAAGGTTCAAAAATGGGCGGATAAGTACCTGGCACCAGTCAATGAAGTCTCTTACCGTTGGTCTGAGTTATGCAGGGAGATGTAGACTGGCTGGGTGGGTGCTGGAAAGGAAAGAAATCAGTGGTTGAGGACTTTTGGTGACATTGCTGAATATATATATATATATATATATATATATATATATATATATATATTTACTCCTTGACATCCGAAGCTTGTTTTGAGGTGAGTATTCACTACAAAGTGTAATTATTACCGTTTTTTAGAACATAAACGTGGTATGGCAAGAGGACCAAGAAATGGATCACACAAAATAATTTAACAACATTATCAACACAAACACAAGGAAAGTCGATAAAAATAAAACGCAATGTGAACAGAATGATTAGAACGGCAGTACAGTAAGGTACATTCAAAACAAAACATTCATTACTTTTCAGCAGCACAAGATAGAAGCAAGCTACAGGCATGACCATCGCCCACTTCAATTCTTAGCCACATCTCATAACATCTCCAGACACTGAGTTGACTGATCTCTCCGACCCAAAACTCCAACCCCACCCCCACCCCCACCCCAGCCCCCACACACACAGTCGTCATCCACCAACAAATGCTAACCCCATACAACTATCCTTCATCCCACAGCGCCACGTCACATAGTCACCACCCCTCCACTTCTCCCGTCCAGTACTAGAGACTAGCAAACAATGAACGCTGTGCAAGTCGTTGGCATGACATGCGTAACACATGTCCAAGTCACCGAAGCCAGTGTTTCTAGATGACTTTACTTATTCAATGGCGCTCTCCACTATACTCAAACATAGGCTGTCGTACCTCACAATTAATTACACGCTGTTGCCACCACACGGTTGTCGTACATCCTCAGCTCGGAGAGGCTAGTGTTGACAGGCATAGGGCACAACTGATAGCACTGAAGCGTTGTAAATCTGACCTCTTACGGTGAGACTAACGTAGTGATGCCTGTAAAGGTTAAACCAGATTGACGTTTGGCACTCTGGTTTTCGATATGTGGTTGGAAATTCCACTACCCACATCTCCACCAACTATCCAGATACACGAACGAATTTCGAACTACTTCCAACGGCTCACCACTAAGGATAAGCACAGGCACGGGTTCCTGCCCATTTTGGAGAAGCACTTTGCACTTTGATAGTCCGAAGGTTGACATACTGAAGTGGTAACCAATCTACACACTTTTACAGGATTGCTTACATCTAGGATATCTATCTCCCACCGAAAATCACGCATTAACTGACGCTGAAAGCTGATGTTGACCTACTGATCTTTCAGTAGAATATCCCATAATATCCGGAATCACCAATTGTGATAAAAGGAGAAGTGCTGAGGATGTACAGTGTTTTGTAGGTCATAGTAGCATCCTTTCAACTGTGATTGGATAGTGATAAATAATAGAATACGAATATAAATAACGTACTCAGCATCCTTGTCCACGTCTTTGGAGTAGTAGGCAATAAGCCACACCTATTACACGAGGGCCAGTGATACTACCTAACTGCCCGAACCTTGGTAGATGGGGCAGGGCTCAAACGAGTGACCCAATGGTTGGCAGTCATCTCCCTAAACCACTGAGCGATACCACTCATGATGATGGTAAAAGCTATACCCCAATATAAAATTCATTAGTCATGGGGATGTATTAGTTTTAAAAAGAATCATGTTTCACTCAACCGAATATTACAAGCCTTTATTGAATATAGAACTATGGCTTCCTGGTTTACGTAATCAATTTTCAACTAATCAGTTATGGGCTCTAATTCGCAGCTCAATCTAACAATGTCTTGGCAACCAGGCAGTAGCAGTACTCATACAAAATAGGTGTGGCTCATTGCCACTTACTGTATGAATGTGTACAAGGTGGCTATGTGGATTTTGACTTTCAATCTTTTGGATAATGTAATTAGAAGAAAAATGTGATGTATTAGAGCTATACATTCCAAACAATCAGGTCATACATTACTTGTTAAGGTATTATACATGAAAACTCGCTGCAACTATCAATATGAGGTTTAGAACAAAAGACGTTTAGCGAAGAGTTACTCTTTTCAGTGATATCATTCTCAAGCTGTACAATCGCATTGTAACAAAAAAATGTTTCATGAGATTCAGTGAGTTGAAAGAGGTTTGAGACATTTGGTTGCACTTGGTTGTATTGTGTTCTCTGAGCTGGGTTGTTTAATCGTGAAGCTTTAATCGTTTTTCTAGACAGTGACATCATCAGCACTAACTTCAGTATGAAGCAGTGAGCTATCAATATCTCTCTGTGAATGATTTAGTAGCTTGCCTTGACGAAGTGGTCTATGATTGGTTGTTTCCTTTGATTGTTGTGTCACTGACTGACTGTATAGATTTTCCTATTGGCTTCACGATTAAACAACCCAGCGCTCAGAGAACACAATACAACCAAGACCATCCCCATCTGAGCTACAAATATTCTCTACTACCTTAACAACATTTGGTTGCAATTTTGTGGAACGTAAGGTTTTATAAAAATGTCTGGGAAAAGTGTGTACTTCTATTTTACTATCAACAATCCTTTTTATGTGTGTATGCATTTATATACGACTAAATTCCAGAATGATTTAGAATATAAATAATGACATTATTAATTATTTTTCAAGTATTTAGCAATCGATGATGGTAAGAACAAACACTTGATTGTCCTAAGGAATCTCTAACTGTATTCCCTTTGGTCACAGAGAAATACACAGGTCATAATGATGATTAACACTTAATCAATATTCCCTTTTTTTTTCAAACCCTATTCAAATCTGAGCTTCGCATGGAATTACATATAAATTCGGATTTATCAGAGGTAAGGATAACAAGGTTGATACATAATTTACTTTGCAATGGTGCAGTGTATCAATTCTATTAACTTGATTATGTAAGCGCGTGAAGTTATACAAGATACAGAATTTTAATCTGTAAGCAGTGTCGATAGTAAATACAAAGAAAAATTTAGATACAACGTGAATTAATCAATAATGTTAAATCCATTAGGAAAACGTTTTGTGTTAGGACTATGACATATAGAAGAAAGTAACGCAACACATCTCGAACATACAAGTGCATCGGTTCAAGTAGGCACACATCACAACAGAAGGTCAACAACAACTCGATAGAAAAAGATTGATATCAAAGTATACAAAGATGTATAGAAGGAGAACGAATTCCAAAATGAACGTCAGTGAAAATTATCAAACTATCGAAGGTGTCAAACAGTGAATACATCTGTTCGTTCCATTGTGCCTGATTTTTCAGCCATTTCACAAAACTACTCAACCATTGACTCCTATCGTCTCCGGCACCCTCATCAGACAGTCTACACCTGACTTCACGGACCAGACCAACAGTTAAAGACTTCATGGACCGATGCCACTACTTGGCCTGGTCATTCTCAGCTTGCTTCCAACCTGATAATCTAACTTCTCCTAGTATTGCATGTCAAGGTAGGTGGTAACTCAGAATGCGCAACACATGTTTAAGCCAATTTGTCAAGTATGCTTCACCTGACCTCGACATTCCTAACACACACCAGTAAGGCTACGAAGGCGACCGTTGTAAAAATCCTGCTGTCTCTTCATATCTCCTACTTTTAAAGGCCATGTGACAATAGGAGAGAATGGAATGCAGCTCAGTATAATCGTTCTTTAATAGGCAGTCGGACATCTTGAACGTTGACCGCACAGATGAAGCAAGTTGGGATATGCCAAATAGGCCTACATCTGGGTTGAGATTTCATCCAGCAAACAACCCATTCTGGTGGACGACGCATTCATCCACTTCAACTTATATTCCTACAACAGTAGTTGCAGATCTGTCCAAGAGCGTTATCTAACATTTGACAGGGAATAACAATTCATGCCAAACTCATTCAGATTTCTGCTCAACGCGTTCAGAAGACTCTGCATTTTGTCAGTATTCTCGCCTAGCAGAACAGTATGGTCTGTATACTCTAAGTCAACCAGATGATATCCAGACGTATTTGAGGTTATGTCCATTAGTACGTCTATGACGAAGTTAAATATAAAAGGTGACAATGGGGATCTCCACTGGACGCCACTAGTTGTCGTCAATTCTGATAATAACTCTCTATAAACCTTTACACGGTTATGTGAGTTCGATTGGAGAGCCTCTATTAGCCTCATATACTTACTCGGTACTCCCTTCACAGTCAGATACTGCCACAACATCTCATGGTCAACAGAGTCAAATGCCACCCCCAGGTCAACAAATGTGGTGTCGGTCGCCGGTAGAGTATATCTCTGTTCCAAAACCTGTCGAAGGATCAATATCTATCCGGTGCCCCTTGTTTGGGTCTGAAACCTGCATGGTTATCATGAGTTCAATGTTCTTGAGCCTCAGTTAAGCGTTGGATAGCTATGTGGATCCTACAATTCTGGATACGATGTTAGTCTACTGATCGGCTTATGTTTGTCGCAAGACTTCTCTCCTTTATTTTATTAGAGTGGGATGGTCGGTGAAGTAAACCAGTTTGAAGAGACTGAGCTTATAAGCTTAATGTGCAAGGGCTTGGACATGGTAAAGCCGCCATGAGAGTAATGGCGAAGTTATACGTGGAGTGCCACGCAGTCAATGGGGTTGTGAACTCTCATTCATTGAAGTAGCTTGAACACGTGACGCGAGTGCCGAGCCACCATCTGCTACGACATTCGAGGTTACACGATACGGAATGAGTTGAAGGGAGATTGAGGATAGTTAAACCAAGACTTGACATCAGCCTATAAAGTTTTTAATTGTTGGCCTGACTCTTGTTGTAATACATAGACTGCCTGGCTGAGGTCCTGAAGACGACAGGACTAAAGGGTTAGGCTCCTGGTGATGAGGTTTAAAATCGATCATAATAGTCATCTTCAAAGTCCTTGACATTTTTCTAACCTTCACATACTTAGTCTCGTCCCGTCATGGGTTTTTTTTGAACCTTAATATTTCCTTTTCATTCCAGTGGTTTTTTGTACGCTGCTGTGAAGTGTGCAACTTGAACTGATGAGCTTCTTTACCAGGTTCTATGCTGATTTACATCTAGCTGTTTGAAGGTTCATGACACAATACGGTCAACCATACGAATGTAGATGGGACCACGTTTCAACCAGTGAACTAACTGATCAGTAGTCAGACGTCTAGATCTATAAACAAACGTCTACCTAATCATTGGTTGTCAGCTCCGACTGGCAGACTTTTGTCTTGAATGTTCAAAAGTGTTTAAGAGTCCATGAGTACAGCTAACAGTCTCAGCAAAACTTTTCGCTAATTATAAATTTGTAGAGGGTACAGAATGCATAAAATACCCCTTACAGTACCATGAACTCTACAATAAAGATTCAATTATTATCTCTACAATCTAGGTTGTACTTAGTTCAGACAATCTAGCAGACAAAAACTATTTTCCGACTATATGCTGACAGATATAAAGTAACCAGATTAATTATTTCCTCAACTTTTCTCGATCAAATACCATAGAAGAGAGTGACATCCTGAAAAACTAAAGGAAAGTACCATTTTTTTCCAACTCTTTATGAGAATGATTTGGATTTCGAAGATAAATTGAAGCTAGAAGATCAATACCTGAGCTACTTATTTGATATTCTTTGATCAGAATTTATATACAATTGGATAAAATATTGATACATCTTCGCTATTGTTCAATGAAAAACATTATATAGTAATGGATAGAATTGTTAAGTAAGCAATGATGCAACAATTTAATCAAACTCACACGGGCTAATACGTGCTGGGCATGTGCACGAACTTGTTCTCGAGAAAATTCATGACGACCATTCGGATTACAACAACCATTTGCTACACATGAGCAAGGGAACGATTCTCTATCAACCTGTGTAAAAGATGAAACAGTGAAAAATAAAAGAGAAACTATTCGGCGTCTTATATGTAATCTGATAACTGAACGATTAACCTTAAGGTTAGTCATAAAAACTAGTTGAAAAAGATTTTCACAGAAGAATTGGCTACCATCAATCCACTAATTAACTGGTGAATGTTAACGAACCGTAGGGAAACCTTTAGTCAACTGAAACGAAAGGTAATTATAACAAGTGAGTCAACCAAATTCTGTTTGTCATCAACGTTAATTCCTGCGTCGAAATACTAAACTTTTACAGACAATTAACAGACTTAAAAAGTATTCACTTGAACAAGAGAATAGCGACTTAAAACCAACCAACGACTTATTAGTTATGCTTGATTTCAATATGGAATAGGAGATTACTAAGTAACAATCGAAATAGCCATAACTTAACATCAACATATCAAGATGTAAGGCAAAACGATGAAATGACTTAGAAAACGGCCCTAGACAAGCAATGGTTTAAGCAGTTGACTTTCAGACAGTGGATCACGAGATTGAACCCAGCTTCACCTAATGAGTCGTAGGTAGCCAGGTTGGTAGGTATCATTAATCCGCCCCCATACACACATACACAATCCATCCATCCAGATCAACCTAGGACAAGGCATTACTGAGTAACGGTCCGAGTTGCCGCCACACCTCATATCACCACATCAAGTAAAAAGGCAGTGAGGCGCAAGATGAAGACAAGAAGATTCATTCAAAAGAAAAATAAAGTACTCAAAGAGAGAGAAGGGAAGAATGAGAAAGTGGTGAGATTCGGTACAGCGTCGTTAAGATGAGGATAATGTGTGTGGCGATACATCTGCTACACTGACATCGGTTCTCACCCATGTGATCACTTAAAGTCAGTCTTTAACCACTGGTCCCTCTTGTCCCACCGATCCCAACCACCTAGTCTGAATCGCCCCACATGGCTCAAACCAACAGTCAAACACTTCATACATTGGTGTCATTGTTTTAGTCTGGTCACCTAGGGCCTTCTTGCAAGTAAATAAAGCTTTTATTACATTATACATGCGCCAAGAATGAAATGCACACAGTCACCTTGTCCATACCCGTGGAGTAGGAAATGAACCACACCTAATGTGTGAGGGCTAGTGATACTACCTGTCTACCGAAACCACAGTAGGTGGAACAGGGCTCGAGCTTATGGCTCAGCGACTGATAGTCGATTTTATAAACCACTAAGGTATTACTCCATTTGGACAACCAAGTGGTACCATAAACCCTAATGTACAAACTCATACGCAGTTGTTCAGCTAAACAAATATATCATACAATAAAATAACTTTTACCTGACAAGGAATTTCTTCATCTGCACATAAGCACTGACCAGGTACACATGAATCTCCTGGACCACAATTACAACCAACACGAGAACGCATCGTTCGTACAAAGGAACAGACCAAACGTTCAGATTCATCAATTTTTACTACACCTGAAATTAAGGTATCTTTTGAAAGATGAACATTCGAAATATCAGTAGCCTAAATTCGTATAAATTAATAGCAAGAGAATGATAATATTGCCGATTAAAGCCTATGGAACGAAACCTATTTATAAATAACTTGTATAAGTTAAAATTTAACTTTATAATAGTTCTAAATATTTTGATGAGATGATTCTTTCACGAATATATATTCTCGTTACATTACCCTGAGAGATTATACTATGGGATAAGGAATAATTGTATAGGGTTAACATGTGTTTATACATAATAACATCTGAGTAGAGTTCAGGTGATAAAAAGGTTTAGTGACTACAGATGTTAATGAATATGACTCAGAATAGAAATCCGTAACCATTTCAATCACTAAAAAGTAATGAGAACTTTTTAAAATAACTTTTCTCCGCCTGCTTCTTCTGAGATCATCACAATCCTTCATCTGTCTTCGTAATATATATATATATATATATATATATATATATATATATATATATATATATATATATATATATATATATATATATCTGTTGGAGCCTTTTAAGCACTAAGATTACGTCAAAAACAAACTGAAGGGACAAGGTGTATTAAGAATTTATCGACACGTTAACATATAAACATGACCATAAATTCAGTTGTGCAAACACAGAATATAGCCTCAATGAGTTCAATATTCATGACATCGTGCTGTCTCAAAGAGTATTCATTCTCTTGACAGAGACAGATGAAATCAAAACACAAGTGCATCGGTTCAAGTAGGCACACATCACAACAGAAGGTCAACAACAACTCGATAGAAAAAGATTGATATCAAAGTATACAAAGATGTATAGAAGGAGGACGAATTCCAAAATGAACGTCAGTGAAAATTATCAAACTATCGAAGGTGTCAAACAGTGAATACATCTGTTCGTTCCATTGTGCCTGATTTTTCAGCCATTTCACAAAACTACTCAACTATTGACTCCTATCGTCTCCGGCACCCTCGTCAGACAGTCTACACCTGACTTCACGGACCAGACCAACAGTTAAAGACATCATGGGCCGATGCCACTACTTGGCCTGGTCATTCTCAGCTTGCTTCCAACCTGATAATCTAACTTCTCCTAGTATTGCATGTCAAGGTGGGTGGTGACTCAGCATGAACAACTCATGTCTAAGTAGCCTCAGTCGAGAAAAATTCACAGCCTTATCGACCAACTTGCCACCCTTGCTTGATAAGTATGCTTCACTCGACCTCGACATTCCTAACATGATAGTTTCAACACACACCAGTGAGGCTACGAAGGTGCCCGTCGTAAAAATCCTGTCGTCTCTTCTAAAGGCCATGTCACAGCGGTACAATAGGAGAGAACGGAGTGTAGCTCAGTTTACTCGTTTTTTAATAAGCAGTTAGATATCTCGAAAGTTGATCTCACAGGTGAAGCAAGTTGGAAAATTCCAAACAAGCCTTATACATCTCAGATGCGATCCCATCAGTAACCGACCCGTTTGGGCTGAAGCAGCTCCTCATCCCCAGGTAAGTGAAGTGGTCGATGCATTCAACCACTTCACCCCCTATCCTCAAACTGGGTAGAAGCTGCACATTAGTCTTCAAGTATCATCTTACATTTGACGCATGCCAAACATACATGCATTTCTGCTCAACGCATTCACAAGACTCTGCATTTTGTTACCAACCTCACCTAATGGGACATTATTGTCTGCGTACTCTAAGATGCCTGTGAGGTCACTGGTACAGGTTATTTCTATTAGTACATCAATAAATAAATTTAAAAAAACCGGCGATAGTGACGCTACTAATTGTCATCAATTCACATGAAAACTTTCTATATGCCCGCATATGGACTGTGTCAGTTCGAGTACACAGCTCTGATTAGCATCATATACTCACTCGGTACTCAGTACTGCCTTCATAGTCAAACAATGCCACAATACCTCACGGTCGGCAGAAACAAATCCCACCTCCAGGTCAACAAATGTGGCAAGTGTCAGTCACCGGTAAGGTATGCCTGAGTCCCAGAACCTGTCGACGGATGAAAATCTAATCGGTGCCCTTCTTTTAGGTCTGAAACCTGCATGGTTATCATGAGTTTAATGTTCTTGCGCTCCATTTGGGCATCGGATAGCTATGGATCCTAGAATCTTGGATACGATGCTAGTCATACTGATTGGCTTATGATTTTCACAAGACGGCTTCCATACCTTAAACTGGGGTCATCAGTGAAGTAGACAGGAAAACGTTTAATTACCACTAGCTGATTCCTCCGTTACTCCAACCAGTAATTTCTTAACTCCATCTTTAAACACCTTTGGGAGACAACAATCAAGTCATGCTGCTTTGAATCGATTCACGTTCGAAACAACCTTCTCAACTTCAAGGAGAGTTGGAGGACTAACATCTACATCCTATTCACATTCAAGCTGGGTGTTGAGCAACTGAAACGTCTCTGAGGGCCCGTTGAACTGTGCTTCACAGTGTTATGCCCAAAGTTCTAGCCTCTAGTCTTGGCACAGTATCAGCACCTCACCTTTTCGGTGATGGTTTCACTAACCATCGTCTTCTTCTTGCCAGTATCTTTAATACGCTAAAATAGTTGACGAGTGTTACCCAACCCTGATGCCTCGTCCATCTCTCTCGCATTCGTCACCCACCTCTGCTCTCGATTGACGCGAAGACTCTTGGTCAATCTATGTTCGAGTTGCTCTCGCTCTCCATTGTGGTCAGAGCCAGCTGGAATCAGTCTGCTAGCATCAACCAATTTGGATGAAGTTTCGGAAATCCAGTGACGTTTGCTAACCTTCAGGTGTAAGCTGCCAGTTGTGTTTACGGCTGTTTCTACAGCAGACTTAATATCACGCCTGGTTTTCTCAGGATGAGCATTGCTATCATGTTCAGATAAATGCTTAGCTGTCTCTTTCCTAAATTCGAACTTGAAGTTCTCATCTTCCAGTCGATCATAGACAGACAGGCTTTACTATCATCTGTTCCCTGTGACCAGTAAGGCGTGGACATACACGAGCGCGTACACTAGCGCGTGATCGTAGTCCAAACAGGTACTGCAGAAAGAGTGACAATACTCCACCGATCCTCTCCAACGACGGCCGAGAGCAATATGATTGGTCTGTGTCCATCGTTGGTTTGAAGTTGGCGGGCGCGATGTGAGACATTGTCTGTCGTTATGCGCAGAGTTAGTGGTGGTCAGAAACAAGTGATTGTCAGAACAAGATTGCAACAGACGATCAGCGTTAACGGTTCATTGGTATGGGATTTCGGTAGATACCCCCGAGATGCCTTTCCGATTAGTCCAGCTTCCTTACTTGAATGTTAGAGGCATCTGCTGTTATGACTATGTGTGAACATTTTGCTTTCTGTATTCAAATTGACAGCTTCTCGTGGAATTCGTCTTTTGCATCAACGTTACGAATAAGCACCGGTTGGTTTCACGATCCTGCCTAGTTCTTACAGATCCGTTCAGTCGAATAGCACATATACGACTGTTTGTTGGCACGATGTCTAGAAGAGCACTTTGTGCCCTACAACTCAATGCTATGCCTACACCAGCGAGTCCATGAGATCTAATCACTGGATCTCGGGATACTCGTATTGTGAATTTTCAAGATTCTCCACTATGGTCAGATGAGTGCAAAGTAATCAGCGCACTCGGATACTGTGTGTTTCATGAGCACTATATAGATACATGACTCGAGATTGCATAGCTCTCGAGAGCGATGTTTGCCGTCTAGTTGGACATACGGTTAGGACTTTGGAAGCCCGAATATGGAGTCGACTGAGGGGACTGCGGAGAATCGGACATCCTCTTGATGATTCTGGTGACGGAATATTGTTTGAAGGAGTGAAACGAATTATTTGTCTATTAGCAGAAGACTAATTACAGGCAAGAGTCATTTTCCTGGCTTATTGTGGAGGGGGCCACTTTCTACTTACACTTGCAAACGAACAAGTTTATATTTAAATCGTAGAACGCTATGATGCGATTCAGCAACTAGTAAGAGGTTCTTGCAGTAGACGGTGAGCCAAGCCTGTTGTGTTGCGGCCAATGATACTGTCTAACCGCAGAAACCTTTGTAGTTGGACTGTAATGCAAACCTATGACTGATTGGTTGAAAGTTGAATCAGAAATGGAAAGAGTTGTAACTGTGAAATAGTGCATAAAACCAAGTGATTGAAAAGTCAGTTTAGTATAGCTGCACTATTGATCTGTGAAATGTCAAATAAGCATAATAGTGTTCCCAAAATGTAGCCTGGCAAAATCGATACTCATGTACCTTACCAACACCGAAAACTACGATCTGGCACAACTGAATTTGAACTTGAGTCAAAAGAGGACAACATGTACTATACCACTAATGAACGTTTTGAAAAATGGTGACTAACAAACATTTATCCGAGCATAATCTACCACATAACCTCTACCATCTAACCTATACATCATGGCTTCCTGGATGGGATTCGAGAAATAAGGCGACATCGTCCGATATGATTCAGAAGCAAAACTAGTGTGGATAGTGTTGCATCCCTTTTGCTTTTGCTTTTATATTCAAAAAAATAATTTTTTAACTAATGAACGCTCATAAGAAACTATCCCATGAGACTATTTCTCTGAATATTCTCCATCCCTATTTATTTCTTCAAAATACCGTTACATTATATTGTTTCATGTGGTAGCCGATAACATAAAGTTTGCGTTTACTCGATTGGTAGAGATAGATTTTAGTTCAATTTGAATTAGTCACTGAAAATGCAGGTGAAGAAAGACAATAGTTTATTTTCGTCTATTAATTAGAAATGTCATACATGATCATTTACTAGATAACGTTTCGGACATAATTTATTGTCCATATTCATATAAAGTAACTCCACAACTTTGAGACATGATCCTAACTCTCTCCCCTTCTCTGTGAAAAGCGTTATAGAATTTTACATATACCTGGGACAGGTTCAGAATCATTTCTATCACGTGTATTTAGTGTTGGTTCGATCAACAAAGAGTCGGTTGTCAATCTCTCCCTCCCTCCACCCAACTAAGTTAGTTTTTAGTACTGTCGCTCTATCCCATCCTATTGTGCGATTGTGTGTAGTTGTATGCATAGCTGTAGCTGAGCTTTCTATAGGTTTCTTATGTTTTGCGGACCTACTAGTCTTGGCCTGGCTAAGCTTTTATGCTTTGTTATTCTAATTGGTCCTGGTCGACTATTTTGACCCATGTTTTGACCTCGCAATCATTGCAAGGGATTTGGTAAACCAAATTATTTTGCTTAATGGGATCAATAGGATCTTTTAACCTACAAAGCTTGTTTGTAAGCTTAGATGTCACTTTAATGACAGCCTTACTGAGAATTCTTCGTAACACTTCTGAAGTGTCTTCTCTATAAAATAACACAGTGAAGGCTTTGAATTCTCTGTCAATCGTCTCACCATTATGACTACCATCATTACTATTATTAGCAGAATTACTATCAATAACACCAAGTCGTCTCACCTCATCCCAGTTAAAGTAGCCTTAGTTAAATACCTAAGTATCAGGGTAAAAAGCCTACTAGTAGGACAAAGAATCTACAACAAGAAACTAGATACATGAAGAATACCTTATGTCTCTATAATTACCTGCCTAAATTTATAAATAACTTCATAAGAAATCGAAAGAAAACTATTAGCAGTAGTAGTGATATTCACACTTCCACCAACAATAGTAATGATGGTAGTCATAATGGTGAGACGATTGACAGAGAATTCAAAGCCTTCACTGTGTTATTTTATAGAGAAGACACTTCAGAAGTGTTACGAAGAATTCTCAGTAAGGCTGTCATTAAAGTGACATCTAAGCTTACAAACAAGCTTTGTAGGTTAAAAGATCCTATTGATCCCATTAAGCAAAATAATTTGGTTTACCAAATCCCTTGCAATGATTGCGAGGTCAAATACATGGGTCAAAATAGTCGACCAGGACCAATTAGAATAACAAAGCATAAAAGCTTAGCCAGGCCAAGACTAGTAGGTCCGCAAAACATAAGAAACCTATAGAAAGCTCAGCTACAGCTATGCATACAACTACACACAATCGCACAATAGGATGGGATAGAGCGACAGTACTAAAAACTAACTTAGTTGGGTGGAGGGAGAGAGAGATTGATAACCGACTCTTTGTTGATCGAACCAACACTAAATACACGTGATAGAAATGATTCTGAACCTGTCCCAGGTATATGTAAAATTCTATAACGCTTTTCACAGAGAAGGGGAGAGAGTTAGGATCATGTCTCAAAGTTGTGGAGTTACTTTATATGAATATGGACAATAAATTATGTCCGAAACGTTATCTAGTAAATGATCATGTATGACATCTCCAATAAAGACTAAACTGCAATTAAAATCTACCACACTGTTCTAGTTTTACTCTCATGTCAGCAGGTAATTGTTTCTTTCCTCGACTAGCTTTCGTTTCCCGGAGCAACTTGAAATGTAAGTCACTTTATACCTAGTACGCTATCCTCAATACAAGCCACGAAGGCGAAACAGCCTGAATGCAAAGTTTTGCCAAAGAAACTTACCTAACGAGGCGCGTCAATATGAAGATCTTGAAGGTATAAATAACGAAGGTACAGATAGAATTAAACTACTAAAGACATATCTAACACCGATCACAATAATCTTTTGAACGGAAACAGGCCTAGTTAAATCAAAACGTGGCAATTATAATACGTTTAGTTGCAAAAAACTAAACAATGTACGAAATTATCTGATAAACTGTAGTGTTGCTGGTCATAACTTGAAAATGCAAGATAAATACTCGTGCTTAGTATCAGCGTGTGGGCTCAGAATAAAATATCAAGCTGTTTGTTTACACCGAACCGAATTTCAGCTCTACAGTACACAGTAACCACTAAGGATTCACAGTCGAACTCTTCAGGTTTCAAGACCATACAGTGGATGAGAACAAACAGTCCAAGTTATGGTCAAAAAACCAAAACGCCCACACTAAACCGTAAACATCTGAACCCAGTGGCTGTTACCGTGCAACTTCGTAAGGATGCGTTATTAACTTCTCATGCTTTCTTCAGGGCATTATCATTCAAAAGCACAACATGGGGCGATCTATTTTATTCACTTGGACGTATAGATGTAAACTGATACACTCAATGCTGCAATGAAAGTGTGGCCAAGTCTAAAATGGTAACGATGGTTACATACACGCAAACTGAAATTTTAAGGTAACCAATTTTTGTCCAGATGTACAAAATTCAATTGAATGTGCAGTTTTCAGCACTGACAGAATGCCAGTGTACATTTGTGTGGAACCCTATGAACTTCGCCTAGTATGGTTTATATTTTTTTTTAGTTGCTGAATTTCAAACAGGCAACATGAATGTCAACATATTACCTAAACGACTAATCAAATATACAAAGGAAAACGGGGGAGAAACGTCACTAGTTACTTTTACTTTATTGTCCTCGACTTTACCGTAAGCTGACATCAACAATGGCGGACTGAACGAAAATAGATCCCGCCTAAATAGAATCAGGTACAAAACTAATAACTTTGGACATGATATTCGCAATCCTTATCGATTACTTCCTGAGTCAATTGAGTTTCTTGCATTCTTACAGTTTTAAAAGAACTGAGATGGTACGATATAGCCCACATGAGTCAAGGATAGGAACAGCAAATAAAAAGGACCTAATAACGATGAATACTAAGATATATCTTAATATTCTTATACCTCAGAAACCCCCTCATATCTGTCAGTTTTCATGATGTAAAATAATCGCTTACCGGATGATCTTAGGAGCTTAATTCTTGCTGCTGGGTGTAAAGGCATCAACTTTTCTCGTGTACCATTTTGAGTGCGTCCTGACGAATTGATAGAAGGAACTTGATCAAGCGAAGCTTCAGAGTCAGTATCCAAAATATCAAGTGAGTTACAAACATTGTTACTGGCCACTGAGTCACCTAAAATGTGAACAAACCTCCTCGGTGACGGGGGAGATAAACATGGAGGAGATGGTGTAGTGTAAGCAGTACATGTTGACATGATGGCATTATCTGAGAGCTCAGCGAAAGATATCTTGTCGTAAATAGCTTGTGGTGAAAGTGGTGGGGGCGGTGAAAGAATTGGCACACGGAACGAATTACCAGGGCTTTGGCCAACAGGCTCATTTGCTCGTTTTCCTCTACCTCTAATTTTTCCCCTTCCACGTCCGCGACCTGATACATATGAAGTAGACCGACTTTTCTTGGAAGCCAGTCTACGCTGTCTTCGACGAAGTCTTCGTAATAATCTATACTGGTAAAGATCTAAGCGTGATACAGTGAAATGTTTCTTTGCCATGCCAAGTGTACACCAGCCTGATTCAGGTATAGAGGAAAAGCCTTGTCGGCGTTCGAAGGAATATACAGTTACGCCAGAAAAATTGACGGATTTTGGCCGATTGGGAACATAGTGACTAACATTCACACGATCACTAAAGGTATTGCGGGAACAGTGAGAACTATCATTTGCAACTTGAGGTACAGTAGAACAAGAAGCAGATGACTGAATAACCGGTGGATACCTTTCAATGCGTATTCGGGACTCAACACGACTTATTGAACTGTTATAACTGGTAGATGTTGGACTGTTAACGCCAACCACTGGTCCTGACCGGCATTCAGATCCTACTGTGGTACGCATAGTGAGATGTAGTTATGAACGATAAGTCATCAGAATATCGTTAGAATACTTAAATCAGCCTCCAATTGGAATATTTGATCTCCCCCCCTTTAATTCAATGTAAAATTCCATAACTCTAACATACTGTTCAATATCCAACATCTAGCAGTAGTAGTGCGATTGAGAAAAAACTCCTCTTTTTGGACTTTTGTTTCAAGTTCTCAAAGCCAGGCTTTTTTGTCTGGTTATGCTTCTTCGGTAGTAGCAGGAATCTTTTGGGTTTACCTGCTTAGGGCTTCGGAGGTTAAAGGTATCCACTCGTTTCAACTACAGGCGGCACAGGTAGAGGTGAAGACGTCAAAGCAGCCAGGATTGGAAAAATAAGACAGGCGTTCATTAGCCCGAAACCAATGTGGAGATCTTTTGCACTCAGCATGTGGAACGAGATCCGGATTTTCACCACCAGTGTCAAGTCAGTGCTTCTGCATGGATCAGAGACTTGGCGCGTTACGAAAGGCGTTTCCGAGAAGTTACGAGTATTTGTCAACAACTGCCTACACTCGTTACTGAAGCCTAGATGGCCAGAAAGAACAAGCAAGTAGGAACTCTGGCTGGCTGGCAACGGACCAACGAAGCAAGAACCTATCGCCCAACAAATATGCAGAAGGAAGCTGAGATGGACCGATCATTTACTGAGAAGACCATTCGGGGACATCATGCATCAGGCCAGGCAGTCGAGTGGAACTCAGATGGGAAACGATGAGTTGGGCGTCCAAGATGAGGGCGACATGGAGATCGTGCGAGGAAGAAATGAGAGTGTAGCGTCACACACATCCCCAAAATCAATAGCCTAGGGTTTGACGACTTTCGACATTGATGCTGATCTTGATAGTTTAACTGGACTCGCTAAGCTGAAGGCACCCGGTCAAGCATCCTCGCCGTTTGGCACACTGTCGTGTTACGTTGCATTGCTCGTCTTCGACTCTCTAGCCAGTTAGTTGGAACGCATCGGTATTTTGGCACAACCATCCAAATATACTATTCCATCCGACTACGCTATCGTGTTCTTCCTTGGTCTCGTATTCGTGGGTATATAACAAGTCCGAATAATTGGTGATTGGTCTTTGCGTCTTTCAAGTTCGCACCAGGACAAATCCTGAAAACGGCTTGTGGGTAGTTGTGGAGCCAGGTTCAAAAGTTTGCACAGAAGAGGGTGAACTGGAGACGTGCTACTGAAGTTCTATGCTCCATTAGGAACTCAAGGGACAAATAAATAAAATAATTGTCACATTCGGCTTCCCAGAAGCTGAAAAGGGGTCTTAAAGAACCCAGTACTCCAGAACATTTGCCAGAAACCAGTTTGGAATGAGAGTTTCGTTTGCCCGATTACCACTATCAGGGACACGCTAGAAACTGTGTTCACCTTAAATGGGTTTGGTTCCAATTGCTTTTACTTTGGCAACCGCGTATGCGGATGGAAATGGGTATTAGCTCTTGACAATCAGGTACTTGTAGATAATGTGTTTATTGAGCCCACCAAAGATTTATCCTTAGTTTAAAGCATCAGACAAATATGTTAGGTATTTTGATTTATGATTGACAAGACACGCGTGGATCCTTTAATTCCAATGCTGAACGGAAGGGAGATGTGATTGCGGCGAAGATGTCATGGCAAGTACTACTTTGGCCAGTGTTTAATAATAGATAATCGACTTTATTAATTGTCATTTACGCTGACTGCGGCTGTGAAACATTGCAGTCATGCAGCTTTTAAAAATGAGTTAGGGTGACGGCAGTCTGCATATTTTATCTCCTAAGAGCGACTTTAATACTGAGATAACATAATTTGTTCGGAAATAATATGACAAGCTTCCCAGCAAGTCATTTTTAGATAGGCAGAAAGCATATTCCATTAATGATGTAGAGAGATGATTTGGTACTTGGTAAGACTTCGAAAGATAAACCTTTTCATTTACGCCGCGCTTTTAGACACCGAAAGATACGTATCACCTCAAGGGGGCTCACCGACTGCTGTCCACACTGTTTTAGTGGGGCGTTAAAATCCTGGCTCATATGAGGTCCTTATAAAGCATACGAAGTCAGACAAAACAGTTTGCCTGTTAGTAAGGCAGGTTAAAAATATGTAATAAAAGTCGAAAAGTATTTATCCGTTGGAAATCTCAAAGCCTGTCTAATTTTGATGTAGAGGCTTAAAACGGCAGTTTATGTTTGGAAACCTAAAAATAAGGATGACTTCGCTCCCTTTACATGGTCAAGAATCAGACAATACTGTGCAGTCCACCTACTGATTGACTGGAAAAACTTAACGCCGGAAACGTGACAATAAAGCCCTGCACGCTGTCTTTCTTGACCTAGACGGGGCTTTTCACCGGACGCCGCTAGTGGGAAAGTCACATCAGTCGGTATCAATGGATTTCTGCTCCATCGGTTTCGAGGTTATTTAGATGATACATCATTTTTAACTAAACGCAACGAACGAGGTTCGCGTGGAGACCACCAAATGCGAAACTATCCCAAGGTACGAAACTACGGGACATCTCCCGTCCCTTTGGTTTTTAAAGAACCACAAAAGAAAATCCCGCCACCTTTTTTCCTGCTGGCAGACAGTCTGAAGACCTATAGGGGTTCAAATGGAAAAGGAAGCGATGGACTTACTCAAGATTATCTACTACAATTCGAGTAATAGATACCTGAAAACAAACTTACGTGGATAGACTAAAAGTAACTCATATTTAGTCCTTAGATGGAAGTTCAAGTGGGTGCTAGCTGAGCGGCTATGTGATAATCAGTGCGTTTACCAAAAGTGATGTGGGACTGGAATCGTCTAAGTAACTAGAAATTGGTTCTAGCAGTAAGAGAAAGGCAAAAAAGGCAGATGCTGACATACGTTTCAAAAGTACTCAACCTGATTCCTCAATCATGCAATTGTTGTGTCCCGTTTTCATTACGCATGTAAGGTGGAATCTCAAGGTGCTTAAGGCGGTAACAACACTCCAATTGAAACAGCAGTCTAACTTGCTTTAGCAAGCTCAGAGGAGGACAGCAAAGCCAACAGAGCTTAAAAGTCTTTCACCAAGCCAGTCATCCGAACATTCGCAGCTTTTCAGTCAGGAAGCTTGCTTTAATCACGGTAGTGAGAAGTGTTAATGGAGTACGATTAGATCTGAATCCTACTAAGCACTTTACAGAAAGTACGCTAGCAGGAATAACTAATGGCCATCTTGGTACAGTCTATCGAAAGAAAGCCATATAAGAAGAAGTGAAACGTCCTCAGCCTAAATTATCAAAAGCAGATGTCAATCGCTAGCTCTTCATAAGTGTAGATTAACCAGAGCTGTGAGACCAAGAAAGGCCACAGCACGAAGGTCAGGTGGGAGAAGTATATTTGGCAGTCCATGCCACACAGATAGGTTTCAACCGACAGGCTAAATGGTTGCTCATGACAGACGTGAGGCAACACGACGGCGTTTCAAATGGCATGGATACCCAGCCAACTGACCCCAGCTTGGCTAGTTTGTTAAGCCTATGGAGGTCGGCATCAAGACTGAATTCGGTCGATTTAGGGGAATAATTCGATGCTGCAGCAGTGGCCAGTGTGGCCTCCCAATAAGGTTCACTAGCCACCAGCAGCCTCCGCCCCTCTCTTCCACCTACTACCTATATTCTAGCTGTCCTTACCTCCCGTCCAATCTCTGCTTTCCTCGCTTAAACTCACTTCTTTCATCAAACACCTACACATTCAGGTGTCTCGACGACTCCTTTACTCTTATTGCCGACTCAGCAACTGCCTCGTATAACTAACTCTCAGGCAAGAAGTACAGACCCCACAGCAACCAACCAACTTCACCAAAGGGGAAAGATAGGTTGAAAAATCAAGTTCTTCTATATGGGGAAAACAACACAGGAAACGAAGAAAGACCCGAAAATAACAGGAGAGAGTTCAAAAACTACAAGTCGTTTTACTCTTATTAATAACGTTGATGTTGGGTGCAATGTGATCAGTGCATGTACATCGAACAGCTACTTGACATTATTATTTGCGATGATCGCAGTTGCTCAGTTATCCTCTCGCCGTCTGCGGTCAAAATAAGGATTTAGTTCAAATTCCTTCTACACACAACTTTTGACCACCATCATCTCAGGAGGCATTGGTCTTTAATTGCTCAAATAATTCACTCACATTTACACATGTAAGTCGGCGCCTGAAGTTTAATTATGACCTGACGGTACTATGGGGGCAGGGAAGCTGCTTTCTTTTCGATGCCTTTCTGCGGGGAACATGCATCAAAACCCCAAATCATCAAAATGCTACACGAAGGGATTCCTAGCCCTTTTGTCTCAGCTTATATTTCGAATAGCTCCCAGCGGGTTTGTGGTTGAACTTGCACCCCCATTAATTCAGCGAGAGTCAAAGTATGCTTTTGACATCGAAAGTCTGTGTCAGTGCACGGTTGTTGAATGTCATTCCAAACAGAAACCAGGAGACAACGTACATTGGGGGGTTGCCTGTATGAGTCCCAGCTTGTCACGAATTCTCACTACTGTAGCAAAAATATGGGCATAATGCACTGTCAACTAATTAGAAGAGACAGCAGTGGTCACGAGCGTAAAAATATGTACGCAGTTACAAGTACGCCACTGGTTTCTTTTATGATATGTTTGAATTTCAACAAGGGCTTCCATCCATCAACTCCGTTTTCTTTTTCATGAATTGGTTTGAGGGCAATGAAGCACATAGTAGGCACAACCCGAAGTACTACTTTCAGACAGTACAATAATAATTGATTTCCCGCGTATTGTCGCTACGTGAATCGCGTATAGATTTTACAGGCAAGATCATTTCACTTGTTTGGAGTAAAGTCTAATAGAACCGAAAAACAATCTTATCGGACAAATGCTAGGTGCTCATAGAAAATCCTTAACCAAAATGGAAATATTTTGAGAGTTCCATCATCGAGTTTCATGTATCGTTCACCAGTGCAAATACAGTGTTCGTCGAAGGGGGTGCGCTAGGCATGATTTTCGCCCCCTAAGGATGTTTTCATGGGCAGGTTTTCTTCCACCTAAAGGCTTTAAGATG